CCGGTACCTGATGAGATAGGTGAGCGTTGTACAATTAGTCCACCAGCGCACGCAGAACGCATTCGAAATATCACACTTGATCAGTGTTGCTGACGCGGCGTATCGAACGACGGCCCAGTAATTGTCCTGTCCTTGTCGATTAGTTGGCCAGCCCATCGGGAATTCCCAGTTAGGTAGCTCCACATATATGTGTGCTGAATGGGCCTCATAAAGCCCCATCCCTGATATTTCGGATTGTACAATATTCGATATACTACAGCATATTGTCTCTAAGGAACACTACTCACAATGATCATTAGTTCGACGCAAACTGGAAGAACGTGAGCCCAAAATAGGCAAAGCTTGTCATGCCCTTTCAACCAACATATGACAGTTGATCATTCAAAAAATATTTGGAGGTAATCTATTACAGAAGCGCTATTCCGACAATACTTACATTGTCAATAATCTTTGACATTTTTGATTTTCGAATATCCCTTATTTCATCCAGTACACACCATATAGTTTATCCAAGTGAGAGTTTAAAGATGCTGTATCGTTTTGGACCCTATCTTTGAATGAGTGCCCAGGTTTTTTTATAGCATTTGGTTTCCCACGGTTGAACGTGAACTGGTCAGTATTCATGCCCATTCAGTCCATCGGCAATCTTCTACGAATGTGGTCTGGACTTACCCGTATTTCACAAGGAAGGGCTAACCGGAATTTAAGAAAGATTAAGAACAGAATCACTGCTAACTAATGGTTACGCGAGTTTAGTAGAAATCAGTATATTTGTTTGCTTCAAAGACTTGAAAAATTGATGTGTAGAAAATTAATAGTTTTTGTTTCCACACAGAAAACTCTTGTGTCTGTATCACATAATTACAAACTGTGTTTGTCATGGACACAAATTTTTTGTAGGAATAATCATATTATCTGACTTACACACATATAAATCTTTTAGACTGGCAACAAGAACTTCTCCAGGGTACATCAGAATATGTAAAACAAGGCTGAGTAAAAATGTTGGATAGTATTTATTTGCTCAGTGGTTGGTTGGTTGCGCCACAAACAGACAAAATATTAGGCTGTCAGGCATCACAAATCTATGCAATCCAATAATTTGAATGAGACGTGTGATGAAAATACATCTTTGCTACAAAAACTGACAAATACTAGTGATTCTTCTTCAAGTTGTGGTGGGTAGAAAACTGATATCATTCTATACAGAGGAATATACTTGCCCGGTGCAATTATCAAAACCATCTGTAAACATCAGACACTTGTTTACTGACCTATACGTAAAATGCTTTACTCTCGCCAGTCAATGTTTGCGAATTTGCTAAAAAGCAGCTGCAAGGCCTTAGAGTTTCATGATAACTTTACATAGGGTGGGAGAATATTACAAAGCTAGGATGCATTAATGGTTTGAAGCCAATTTTTGGTTTGAACAGATACTGATTAATACAGTGGAACATAGGATTACTGGCAGCTAGGGAAAAGGTCCCTTTGATTAGCCCTTGACCACCGCAAGCAACGCCATAGCAACAAACTCACGGACTTATAAGTTCAAAGTAGTGATGTGCGTGAAACTGTGCTGAGTTTTTACGAAGGCGGACCCGCTCACATGGCTGTGGTCTGTGCAATCTGACCAAGATTTTACTTAGAAAAAGAGTCGGTTGTTGTTAACCGACCTGCTTAACAGGTATTTCAGGAGAGTTGTTGGGTAAACAAGCCTGACATTTTAAAATGTTGACCTCACTTTCATGTTAGAAATTATAATGTGTGATATTGGTTTACAAATTTCACGGTTTTGAACAATTTCCTTGAGTTTGCGCTACACAATTATGGCTTACATTTTATCGTCCGCCAAGAGTAGCGTTTTATTCTGTGTAAGGTTCAGATTGTCAACGACCCGAAACGTGCACAAAATATTGCATGACAAATGGATTCTTTTCGGAAACTTAAAAGCGCTCTTTGTACTTTGTGCCTTCCAGATGGGGTCAAACGACTCTCTGCGTTAGAGAAATATATCTCTCGAATTTGTGGCGCTGAGCACGTATATACTTCGAATATTTGTATATTGTGAGTCTTTTCATCTTGATGTCTTGCTTTTTTGTTGGTTTACAGAAATTCACTGAATGACCCCCACGCGGTTGCACGATAATTGCGCACTAGGTTTCCGCTTTGGTGCTATTCTCAGTGACGGCAATAAATTTGCACAGTATATTGCAGATGAATTGCATTTTTAACGTATCTACTGATCTTTGGTAGAACATCTTTTTCTATCATGTATCTGTTAGTAAATCCATTCATTTTATTCTAAGCCCATTCGTTTTAATCAACCCGCTTCTGCGCGTACGTGCCTTGGGACAGTTGGCCTTAAATCGGAATTTCAGGCGACATAATCTGTTCTTTCCTGTCGTATTTTTAACCTCCATGATAATGGAAATCTGTTTTCCGCAAATGGCGCCAAGATTTGAAAAATAGCACAAATCAAATTGTACACAAACAATAGTTTAAAAGAAACTTTCCTACTTAGGTATGACATATGCATCTAGTGAAGAAATCTTGAGTGGGTGGCCACCTAACTGAATAGCACACAATCGGTATGAAAACGGTTTAGGATAGTGACATCCATTCATCATACTTCACCCCGAACCGCTGTAGACTTTTGCTCCCTTTCAGAAAAATAAAGAGAGGATAAATTGCAGTCGTCTCCCGTAGATTCTTCTAATGAGCGACGCCAACATGCGTGCCTGAACTAATTAGTACACAACTATGCTTTTAAGAGGCTGAAGAAAAACAGACAGTCAAATAACAAATAGCAGAACTACCATTGTATAAGACATTATGATGCACTGACCAAAGTACCGGTAGCCTTCATTGGGAAGACGCTCAGTCGTGGCTTAAGGTAAAATACTTTGTATGTGTGATGTGTTCATAGATTTGGTCGTTGACAAGACGTCACTTCACACAGTAATCTTTCGTATTATTAATTTCTCCGGTATTTGGTGTCAGGAACATTTTTGTGAAAGTGATTTCGAAGCACCAAGATATTGAACTCTGCTGTGATCAGTTTGCCAGGAAAGGGTTGGAAATGATTCATGCATACAAGTGCAATCACCAGAGAGCACTCTGTAACAACAATCTTAGCTCGTTGTTGAGCACGACCTTTTTGAAGCTGGTAACAAGACTTGTATTCGTATGTGAGCTTTGTAGAAATAAAATCCAGCTTAATACTGGATAGGCATTCTTCCTCTATTCTGAGCACGATCAATACACTCAATTGAAGCCAAAGATCAGATCATGCAAACTTTTTTTTCCTTTTACGTTGAATAATGGGATTCAAGTTATCTAGCATGCGAGATAAGTTTACCGCGTCGAAGCACAACCATATATTCTCCGGTTTTTAATTATTGCTTTTTTTGCCTTTTAACGTCCGCTCAGCGGAAAGATCCCCACTGCAGCTCGTATACATTGACAGTTGACGTGCTTGGATTTTGCAAATGATTGGGTCCAGGGGGGAATTCGTAGTTTTTTGTTGACGTGTTATCATCTGACGTTGAAAACCAAGAGGTTCATTTGCAGTCCAAGATTGGTGAACGAATTGCAGAGAGGAAAAGATGGTGTGTCGAGCGGTACAAAACCAATCGCTCATCAATTCTAAATATTAATAAATACAATGGAAAATATAATTGCAAAATATAATTATAAGTAAATAAGTGAATTGTGAGTGTATACCAGTTAAGGGATATTTGAATCATATTGAAGAGTTTAAGTTCGCTGCCCATACATTACTGGTAATGTGTTGAAATGTAAGTAGCTTGGGCTGGCTGTTGATATGTTAGCCCACCCAACCGCGCTCCGATGATGTCTCTTGGTATGGTGATCAAATGTTTGTAAGTCAGTCGCCAAGCTCTGTGAACAGATCAGCAGCCATCCGATGAACAACAAACATATATTATTGTTTTCATTCACCGCACTATGGGAAAGTGTAATCTGTCAGGCAGAATGCACTTTCAAAAAGACAACTCTACAGGTTCACGGAAGCGTTAGGCGTGATAACAAAATAAAAGCTTTGGGGTCCGTTTTATCTGTGACTGAAGAAAGCTCACATATTAGGAGAAAATTGAGCACAAATGGTTGCTAAATAACTGCAATTTTCATTCATATCACCTCATGCAATCAATTTTTTGTTTGGATAATACTGCTTTTATTGTTAGTATTATCATTATTACCACCGTTGCCCATTTCATAAACCCCAATGAATATGAGACAGGCGCAATTATGTCATTTATAGTACATCGGATGATGCTAGCTTGTCGACTGGCGCTTTACCACCCGAGTTGGAAATACAAACGTAGCAACCCTTGTGTGCGCCACAATTTATCAGGTATAGGCCTTGGCGTTTAGAAGTAGAACCCATGTGACGTTTTGTTTTACTGCTAAGGTTGCGGAGCATGTCCACAGACTCTCTGTTCTGAATTGTGCCTCCCAGTCAATCCAGACGTGACTTATCTGATGGGTTCAATTTATGATAGGGTTACGGTGGCTGGAACATTATCGGTAGGTACTTCACAAATGCTAAGGCATGCACCTGGAATAACCAACACTTCGAAGCAGGCACATATCACCACTTTAGTTCTCAACCTAAATGATCAAAGTGGCTTTAGATGGACAAGGCTTACGATTTCAGAAAGAAAATACACGTGCAAACAATGCAGACTTAGTGTCCCGTTGAGCTGTATAAACCGTGCCCTCCTGTTAAACTACCTCGGGATTTTACTACTATCGACCATACATCGTTTGTAAATCTTCGCTTTTCCACAACGTAAACTAAGCAGCAATTTCTAATCCGCGCTGTTCTGGTAGATACTGAAAACATCGGTCGCTCAAATATTACTCAGCATATAACTGTCCTGAGTGGATATGTGCGTGTGTATTCCCTGGATTCCATAGTCGTAAAGCTTAACACCGCACGACCTAGTCACCTAAATTTTAGTCTCGGTGTATAATAGGCCACCAGATGCAGGAGAATATACTCTTGACCTCAAGTCAAGGTCAAGCAATTGTGAAGACTGTCTTTCAAAAACAGAACTCGCTACAATGGAGAACGGTAGGGTGTGCCTCGGAAAACAGGAAATTATCTGGGTTGTGATAGTGAACAATGAACCGTTACTTTGTTATGGAAATATCAACAAAGAACCGGAAGGTATTATTATCCCGCGGCCTAGACACCACATACATTCATTGTGGATACATTTGTGCCTGGGAAGCAATGTTTCTCTCTCCATGGAAGGCAGGAAAATTTGAAGTAAATTCATGAAAAAAAATCGTGCATTAAAATTGGTAACTTGCAACGCCAGCCAGAACATAAAAAGAAGTCGTCTACTTTGACAGCAACTTCTCGGAACGTGCCACGAATATATTAATTAAAAACCTACATCAAGCTCGCTAGATAATTTACACATTTAATCAGGTTGCACTGACATATGCTCTGCGCGGACAGGCTTTTTAGGACTGAGACGTTGATTGCATTCGTGGGCGAAGCGTTTAGTTCAGTAGTATTTCGTTCACGAACTGTTATAACTCCAGATGAGTAACGAAAACAAGTGGCACAATAATCCGTACTGGGATCACCACTCAAACACTATATGGGTAGTCCAAATCTACTGCGAACCGCCATAAAAGTCAAACACTGGCTGTTCAGAGGAAACACGACTTGCTTCTGACGGCCGAAATGTTTTAATACAGCTTTCTTGTTCACTTCGAAGCTATCAGTAAATGTTTACATGAATGAATTTCAAAGAAGGTGAGTGATCGTGAGAATAGAAAAGAAAAAAATATTCGTAAATGTATGTGTGTAAGTGTACGTAAATGGTGGTCAAGTAAATAACACTGGAAAGAAAAAGGTTGTTGAGATTACCGAAACACATAAGTGTGTGAGTGCATTTCTTCAACTGTATCAAAATTGAGTTCAGGAAGAACGTAGGGTTGACAGGAATGGGAGAGTGTGCCTACCTGAGGAGACTCATGTATGGTGACATTTGTTGTGCGCTGCAAAAGAGTTTTCACCATACTAATGAGGCGTGTACTTCATGAAAATGTCAATGGGAACAAGAGGTGGCACATTTCATTGATGATGACCATGAACATGTGCTTCAGTGATTATAATCGGATTAAATGAATTTCACCAATTAACATTGAACTGGAAGTCTAGATTAAGTATGAGCTCGAAGACGACTCGGGGTTGACACCTATTTGATGAGTTTCAAGTAAATCAAAACTGATATTGTGCTATCGAGGAAGTTTTACCGGTCCCGTTTAGAGTAGGTAAAGTTGGTGTACCAACGGATATTTTGTTCCGTTGAACAAAACACAATAGATTGGTGAGAAATCGCGCCGCTCAGGTTATCAACCCCTGGTAGGTCGACTGAAATAAGAACCGTTGTTGCTGAGAAGTCACGTCTTACAACAACTTACTTGTGGTACGACTTTCATCAAGAGAATTGGGTTCTCTAATAGTAATTGCAGTAGAACAGAATCTAATGGATGTATCTCACTTAGTCTTTCTCTTTCCCAGAAAATATGAAACCGTAGTTTACTTCAAGCAACCCCGCAGTAGATTTTTTTTATAAACGACCAGCTTTGGTGGAAGCAGAAGCGAAAATTGTTATATGACAGCAAGCGAGCAGTTTTAATAGCTGGCAACCCAATTTGCGTAATTCCGATCTGCCCTCTGGAGTAACTTCCAGAGCCTTGTTAAACCGTCGGACCATCCACCAAAAACGCTCTGCATTGCTGCTTTGATTTCATAGATGTGGACGTCGATGTGATGCGAAAAAAAGTCCTAGCTATTTTGCTGTCATGGAAATTACGACAAAGTAGCCGACGTTGTCCATTTCCGAATTTGCCTCTCACCATCCAGACCAAGCCAGAAAGGATTTATTTTACGTGTTTTCCTAACGGGTGTGTCACCGTGTTAGCCAACTAAAATACTGAAGAAATGACAATCTGGCGGGTTCCACTAATTTTTTCCACAGAGCCAAACTATTGAAAGGTGGACAACGAATTCAAAACAGAACAAGAGGGACAAACAAATGACACTTTTTCAGACCTGGCGGCATTTTGTATAACATTCAAATTTACAAAGACGCGTTTATTGTTCGTTGTCCGCGACGGGCTTTTCACGAAATTTGAGTCTAAAATATACTTTTATTTTTGGTCTGTTGACAGAAGTGGGTCGAAATTACACTATCATGGTGTCACTTGAACCGACACCCACCTGCAGAGTACGCCTCTCAAAATGACAAAAATAAAAACCGTCTATGAAAAAAAAACATTTAGAATGATTATGTTACTCATATCAAAACGTAACTGCAGGCCAGGTTAAAAGCTAGTTCAGATAATATTGTCCGACACAAATGTAGTTCTGGCAGAAAAAGACCCAGTGTATAACTTACCATGAAATGTTGGCGAAAAATCACTTCTTTCCTCACCAGGATGTTATGAATTAAACAGTACAACCTATGAAAAGTGACCGGAACACAGGAAACTTCCTTATACTTGCAGATTCAATGGATATGAGCCAACATGTGCTATTCCCTCCCCACTTCTGGGAGGATTTCTATGATGGATGCAAATTTCTGCTTTTCTAAGCCCAAAACGTCCCGGAGAGTTCTTGAATTATGCAGGGAAAATTTAACTCTTTGGCTGGATGAAGTTGATGTTAAATGGGATTTCGGCGGTACGGGCATCGCTGAACAATTTAACACACTGGGAATCCTTATTACCTATACTTGCAATACTGTTTACACCTTTAGATCATAATTGCAGGATCTACGTTTTCCTAAACGTGAACGATGTTCAGGAAATTTCTATTCATTTTCGCCATCGTTGTTGATAAAAAACTCACAGTTTTCACGAAGTAAAGTTTGCACTGATACACGGAGGCAATACCAGCTCTCAATATCCATAACTTGGTGCAGAAAACTCTTTTGTATAAAAAAACCTCCCGGATCACAAACTGAAAAGATTACAAAGGTGTATGAAAACAGCACTTTTAGAATGATAACCGGTTTGTGGGAGTAGGGCACGTGAAATCAGTATCAAACAAATTTACTTGTTACAGTGATGGATTAGGTCCTCGCTTCCCTGCTTCCTTCTAGGTCCTGGCTTTTCCTGAGCCATGTTTGGGGTTTGTCGCGGAACAAATATAAAAATGTCACTTTTCCAAAACTGGCTAATAATAGCCCATTCAAATTTTACAGAAGTTTATGATCACTCAAGTTCTTGTTCTATACCAGTGCATGGTATGTCCGACTTATGTGAACTACCTCGTCCTTTTCAATTAATTATTCTGTTTCTTCATCTCGTTCGTGGCATGCGTGAAAATCTGCCGAATTAGTGAAAGTAACAGCTCATTGCCATTCACCGCCCATTATTATTGTTGGATTGTTGGTCCTTGGCTTGTTCGCTGAGCTGGGTAATTTGACTGCAAAAGCTTCATCACCAAACGTTTGCAATCAAATTGTCCGGCTCAGCGAACAAGCCAACAACCATCTACGCCACCTGAGCTAACGACATTTTCCTCTGTTGATTTGTTGTTTACAATTTCACTTTCACCTATAAACCAAATCGGTTGTGCCAAAAACGAATTCTGTAATGGTATGAAAGCACCGAGATCAGTTACTAAGCCCGAAACTTTGGAGATGGGCTCGTGTGGGAATAGAGAATAAGAATTTTACTATTTATTCATCCTGTAAAATAAGCCATTGTAAGGTGAAATGCTGAAAGACATTTATAGCTCTTTCATCCTTGTTAGGCATCAAGAGCCGCGCAAAATTCCGATTTTCGATTCCGTAACCTTTCGGTCAGCGCTAGTTGGATTTCAGTCGCATGTAAATTGCACTGAAGCGCAACCAAAGTTATGCATCCACAAGCAGCCTCAAAGGCATCTCTGAAGCCTTCTCACTGAAACGCGGCACCCCGCATATCGTAAACCGTCTCTTAGTTACCAGGTATTTTTATCCCAATTCGTGGACTGTGTTATTAGTATCCTGCGAAGTATGCAATCGGGCTTGCACGCATCCTGGGCTACCCGTCGATGACTACAAAACTTAGGTGTATTACTGACGTGAATGCCTTATTTACAAGTATCATCCTCACCAGATATTAGGGTATCTTGGCAGGCATATTTATCTCGCACAAATCCCCTTATTTTTTATACTAGAATGTTTTAGGACCCGTTCCTCATGGGGTTCATAGAGTTCATACAGTTTGATGGACTGACAGGTGTTCGACTTGGACCCATTCAGAGAGGTTTGATAAACAATCAGTTGATTTATTACTAGGCACCGTTTCGCTTTTGACACAAATCTTCGTCAGGCCAGGTTAGTAAGTGACTGGCACACTTAATCAGTGCTGGATGTCGGTCTGGTTGCTGATTAGCGGGGATGACCAACATTTATGATAGATTGAGTTGCTTGTGGTCATACATATTCAGCCACCCAGCTACTTCTAATGCTTACAACGAGGTAAATCAGTGTTCGTCACCCACGGTACCTGTTTCACGTGGTAAAACTTACAGTGATAAGATAGGCCAGAGTCTATATGTACAGTGCCTTGTCAGATGAGCCAGCTGATTGGACAATCAACCGGAGTTCATAATCGAGTATGGATACCGGTCGAAATGACTGTCAGCTATATTCAGACCCCTGGTTGTCAGATCGAACCCCGCTCTGCACATTTAACCTGTTGGCGTTTGGCAAGGTGTTGATGATTAACCAACCCTGGCCAAAACTATGCTTGTAGAAGCCCTTAGTATTTGGAATAGAGCAGTTGACTTAATGATTTAGCACCTGTGCCCGTCTTTTTACTTGTACGCAGATTATACGTAGCAATGCAGATTAGCGAGAATTTGCCTAACTTTCATGTGATGGTATAAGGACTGCAATGTGCGTTCTAAACTGAAAACGCGAGAACTCGACATCCGTTCCTCCGGTAAGTGTTGTATGGATCGTCGCCATCACCATGTGGCTTCTAAGGAACTTGTCTTCATAAGGATGGGGTTTTGTAAATTGCTTGGAATCCCACTGCTTACAAGCTTAAAATATCAACTAACCTAAATTTTGTGATATAACTTTATCAGAAGTCAGTGATTCTAATAAAAAAACCAGAGCCTGCTGTCGTCTCCTGTTATGCTTTACTGTGGGAGAAAACGCCTCAAGTTAGTCTGGTGCACGTTGAGGCACAAAGCTTGACTGTCTACGTTGAATTAGGGTACACTATTTCACACGCCACACTCGGACAAATGAGCGTGTTCTCCTACCTGCCCGGTTTATTATTTTATTATTCGCATTACTGGACAGGGCATATCACGCAACATTATATTTCACGTCCGCAAAAGCACAAGGATTTTATGTTAACATACATAAGCCTGAGGCGATTCCGCTTACTCTAGAACACGCTGCTAGGCAAATGTCCCCATGCAAATAACATCTTTCAAGAATGTCGTAAACGGGAACCATATGTAGGCGAAATCCATTTTTTCTAGAAGATTCCGATCCCTTTTCACATTGCAATAGGACAAGGGTTTCAAAAGTGTCATAGGAATGCTGGTTCCTATCACTGCTATCATCTGATTGGTTTAAGTCGCTTGATGTAAATCAACTTAAATACAACAAAAAGCCAGGTTTCAGTGAAAACTTTGTGCTACATCTGCGTGGTTTGTATACTGCAGATGCCAGCAGATTACAATTTCGCGCACATTAATAGCTTTTTTAGTCCGAATGCTTCAGTTGAACTCAAGATTTGTAAAAACTGCATTTTTTGACTTTCATTGTGATAAGCAGTATGTTAGAATTGTTTTGGTCTCAGACAAAAAGCTGCCTACCCCAAGGCTCAGATACCTGCCCTTTGAACAAGTTTGATCCGGCAAACAACTGCATCAGGATAGTTCTAATTGTGTGGATTTTCGAATGACTGTCATTCCGAGGGTTTCCCCTGTATGTTTTAAGTAGTTTAGAAGTGATTGGGGCCGGACTGAAGACTTCTGAAATTTTATGCTTTTTAAGCAAATACATGAGATTGCAATGTAATGGAGTAGCACTAATTCACTAAAAATTTGCAAAAACTCCTTTTCACTCAGAGACTTGATCAGTTTAGATTTTCGAGCACTTTTTATCTCAAGTTCGGCACTACTTGCGTCTTTCTTGTTAAGAGCTGTTTACTGGAAATTTCCTCTGGTACACTTAAACATGGCTGTTGAATCCCTAGGGTGATCCTCAGCATGACTTCCAGTTATCAAAACCATGTTTAGGAAACCCGACGCGATAACCAGTAGGAATGGTAGATAATGATGTCCACTAACGCTACAATCTTACTAATTCACGGACCGTCTAAATCACAAAGGGAAGCTGCAGTCCGACCTACTGCTATAGATAGCGCCGAATAATCACCCAACAGACCGCACGAAGCTAAGGAACCGAAGGAGAAATTTATGCCGTCTTTTGATGATTACGTCAATTTCACGTCGATCAAGCACAACCTTGTTGTGCAGACCGCGACTTTCTTGTTATAAAAAGATCCAAACACAGCAGGAACATATTTGCAAGCAGTTTGACCTGCATTTAGATAAATGTTACAGATTAAAGGGAAAAACCCATGGGGAAATGAAAGGGTGTACAGTGAGATGGCCAATCTTTAGATTCACCGCCGAAGACATGGTGTAGAAGCTGGAAAATATTGCACCATCAAACGTTCCTCTCCAGACTATTGATACGCATTGTGAAAGACAGCGTGTTTGTTATGAAGCGATAGCCAGTTGAAATTTTTTGAGCCGTCAGACTGCCAAATTAACTGGGAAGTAAAAGAAATCCATTGTGCAGGGCCTTGGGCTGAACTTTCTCAGCCTATATAAGTCGATTTTCACTTTTCCGCCGGAAGAGTCAGCTTACCTCTATCAAGTCGTGGTTACTTAGTGTCAGATTCATTGTGGACTGAATTCACTCTCTTTTTGAATGCCAGCTGGTCTCGGTGTTTCCGGCTTACCAGATGTAGACCGCTCACGTAAATAACAAGATGATGCAGGTGAATTTCCAACTTCACTAACGGTGGGTGCCATTAATCAGTATCAAAGTTCAGTGGGCATACATGTCTGCGGATTTGTGACCATGCGGAAAAATTGTCAACTTTGATCTGGTGGTAAGCGCCTCATGCATCTGACCCATACCAATACGCTCTGCGTCTGAAAAGTAGAATTTTTGATACAGGTGTAAAGAACTTGGTCAGAAGTTTCAGTCAATTGGAAAATGCTTGTGACCGATTGGGAACTCATCGTTTCAGAGACGTTTGGTAAGCAGTCGGTGGATTTATTGCTGCGCGACGTTTCGCTTTTGATACAGAAGTTTCATCAGACCGAGTGAGTAAGTAGGCTGATTGGGTTTTAAGACAGTCAGGGAAACAATCTGTGAGATTGCTTATGAGTAACCAAATTGATCAGTGCTGGGTGATCAGTCTGATGTTCCCGTTTGTTGGCTAGGGGGAACGACTAACATTTACGATAGATTGGTTACGGGAAGTTGTCTTCATGTTGAACCCAGACTTTTCGTCCTTACTTTTTCAGTCTACGACACCTTAATGGAAACTTCCACTTGGAGTCGTTCACAGATTTCATTCACCTGTTTTGGTCAAGATGTGCTGGAACAGTTGGTTTGGGGATGGGAGTGGAGGTAGTTAACTGGATTTTTGTATTTTTTACTTTTAGACCCAGACCAGTTCAATGATAACTGAAATCGCCTCGTGTTATCTCGGCTGATCTAAGGCAGCCTGAAAAGTTACCAAATTTGATCTGATGATAAGCGCCTCATGGATCTGACGCATACCAATGCGCACATAGTCTGAAAAGTAGGATTTTTGGTAGTGGTGTAAAGCACTTAGTCAGAATTTATGCTGTCATTATCATGAACTGTATTGGCACGATCACCAAGTGAGATTTTCTACAGATCAGTGTTATTGCAGGCAGGAGATGCTCGATCAAGGACTCGAACTTGTTCAATTCAAGAGAAACCCGTAGGATTAGTAATTCTGAACTCAGAGTGTTGCAGACTCATACGTTAAAAGGGCACCGTTGCAACCAAAAAACATGGCCAAAGCCAGCAATTTGCACGTCAATAGCTGCTAGTTCTATTCTCAGATTCAGAGAAGCGGGAAATGTGATGGGTTTTGTATACCTCGGAGGGTCAAAAATGCTGACAGACGATATAGAGTGTTTAGTTTCCTCAACAGGAGTCCAAACAAATGACTAAGTTAGCTGCACAATAATCTACAGGTTCCTACATAACCACCCACGAATTCTGTGACTTGCTGAGTAAGTTGTTTTAGTCTTGGATTACAACGATGTTCTTCCACAACAATGTTCAGTCGAAAGTAACAAACTTTGAAGTCAGATACTATGGATATCTTGATATGTGCTTATTGGTGCACAAAGGTGCCGGAAGGGAGACAAACACAAAGCCCATGGAAGGACATAGACCCGTTGAAAACCCACATGCATCATCTTCCTGTCATTTAGATTATCAAGGTAAGTTGACCATGCCAGCCACGACAGTTTTAACATTAAGGCGCCTTGTACACACACACTGCTCAAATAGTGAGTAATCATACAAATTTTATCACGTGCATCTGTAAGCGTCACAGTTTGTCTGTATCCAAGAAGGTTTGCAGAATAACTTGAATGAAAAGACGGAAACCACATACTTTTTAGCTCATTATTGGAGCTAGCAGAAATTTTTTCGGAATTAGCTTGAAACCGGACACCCATAAAGTGATAGAAGTGACAGGATAAAGCAGTCAAAAGTATCGTACATCCTTTCATCAAAACCGCCTCATAATCTACCTTAATTCTACTTCAATCCAAGTATTTATCATTATTCCGCGGGCCCAATGCTACACAACGGATTTGTATCTACAGATATAAAACTAGCGAAACCCCAAGAAAGAGCTCAGTGTACTCAATTAACTGCGCTGGCTGCAAAAAATATTACACTAGTCTTGGTGTGAAAAAAAATTCCGCATGCGAAAAAGTATTGCAGCTATCGATAGGTAGCCCCCAAACGCAAATCTCCATTCATAAAGGTCTGGAAGGACACTAGTTTATTCCAGAAGCCTTAAGAGTTTGACACGTGGAAGCATATGTTTACAGATACAGTTACTGGAAGCTTGATTCTCTGAAATCTATCCCCTCCACACCACTACGAGTGAGAGGCCACTCGTCAGACCAACTATGGGGGTTATCAATGGAAATGCAGGAGCGGAGGAACACAAACGTCAAGCCTCAAGGCCGCTCGGACATCATCCGACCGGGTGAGTAGTCAATATACAGGACAAACAAACAATAAGTAGACGCCGGTCCAAGTGAGCAGATTCTATATGAAACAGTGTATTACGCACTTTCAGTAATGAGGCAAATCAACCAACAACACACAATCGATGTCACTTGAACAAAACCGCCCATCTCGGCAAACAGATACACATTCAGCATTACATTCCAAGCCACCAATCTATTTTTTAAATACAAGTCCCGCTTTTATTAGTTTAGTCAGACGCGTCATGATGTTTATCTATCTATCTATCTATCTATCTTTCTATCTATCTATCTATCTATCTATGTATCTAACTATCCATCCATCTAAATGTATATCTATTTATCTATCTATCCAACTATATATCTAACAACATATCTATCATTCTATCTATCTATCTATCTATCTCTCTATCTATCTATCTATCTATCTATCTGTCTGTCTCTGTCTGTCTGTCTGTCTGTCTATCTGTTTATCCATCAATCTATTTATCCATTCACCTGTCAATCAGATTATAGTTTTTAATTCAACTTGTAGATATCGTCAGTCCAACATGGTTCAGTTTTCAAATGGTTGTTCGCATATTCAACCCATAAGTGTGCATTTACGGCATACACTTCAGCGGAAATAATTCCCGTCCGAATGACGTCCTTCCATAAAAAATGAAAACAAGCGTCCTTTGTTTCACGTTCATTGTACTGAAGGACGCTGTCGACCAAACGCAGTTGCACATAGGATATTTGTTCCGGAGACAGTTAGTATTACGCCATCACATTCGTAAATCCGGATGACAGGTTATACCAAGGATGATGAACGGACGAGATTGTTGGCCGGGCAGTATTGTAAGATGAATGCCTAAAATGTAGCATGCAATAGCTTCGGTTCGCTACACTTTACCCTGAATAGCATCACTCAATCGCAACTACCGCACTTCGTTTGCCTGCTAAATTGTGATTCTGACATATAAACAGATGAATGTTCGGTTTCTGTGATTGCATGCCTTAGAAAATGCGTATTTTGTGGTTTGCAGATGAACATAAGTGGGTACTTCCATATATTTCTTTGGATTTCAACCGTGTCGCTGGGGGTAACGCTTAGGTTATAGTGAAAGGAAGAAGGCCTTCTCTGCGGAGTTATTTATTCGGAAATGCCAACTGACCGGTTACAGACCATTGAACAAGGAAGCAGAAATCTAATCTGCATCTTAGTTACAAAACCTGGACACAGATCTTCTCCCGAACGGGCCCTCCTGGAGATTCGTTGCCCCCAATCATTCGTTGGTCAAATAAAAGCAAACAAAAGCAAATTCCGCAACAGAATTCCATTTTTCAATCGACGCAAAGTGAAATTCTACGAACAACACATAATGCTTGCGTGCCTCCTGAGCAGTAGTAACACCGTTAAAATAGTAGTGCATAAACGCTACGTGAGGCGAAAACTGGATATTTCCTGGCACAATTACAAACTATGTTGCACTCCGAGAACCATTCGCGCGAATTAAATATGGAATCGAACAAACTCTGTTCACCTCGCAGTATACGAAGTCCAACGCACCGGATCCGGTGCAGAAAGAATCTAGTGAGCGGAGAAGCTAAATGGTTTCTGAAAACGCAATGCTCACATTGAGTGAGTTTCTTAAATTGATTAACAGCAATGCAGTTGAAAAGCAAAGCAGTCCGTTAGCTTGTCCCCCGATATGAAGATATCATGTTCAGTAAAAAGCGATCGAAAATGGGAGTAGTTTAAATTTCTAACATCGCCTCATATCGAAGAATGTGTGTGAACATAGATATCAAACGTTTACCGTATTTTAAATGAGGTAAGCTATCCTCTTGTTAAATTTAACGTAGCCGAATTGTTCTTGCAGTGAACGACAGAAATGTGTACTCTAACTTGATAGTCTTGGAATGTTCTATCTAAAGACTTACGAAAAGGGCAGACGGTTTTAATTTTCGATCATTTGCGGGCAAAAATCTGGCTAGATTCGTATAGGGTTCACCGAAATTGCACAGATCCGAGTGACAACCACCATACTAGGAATGTACGGGAACATTGGCAGTCCGAATGCGCTTATTGGTGGCTAAACTTGCGGCTGCTAATCTGTTATCCGAGTTTGGCGATTAACCTTCATCATCATCAGACAGAAAGGCCGTGTACGTTCTGTACATTAATTATAGATGCAAAAGTTTCCTTCGCTGATGCTCTGGGGAATTAAGGTAGATAGTTATGCATAGGAGGGTGTAGCTGAAATAATTGATGCGTAAACAAAATGATGTTGGGGGACCGTTCGGTGAGGATATCTAGGACGAGCTATGTAATAAAGTCAACATCTTGATTTAGTGAGGCCATGTGACAGTATCGTGTCTGATACTGTCTGTAACCGCTGATTTTCCGTGTCTCGGTTACTGTATCCAGGTGAAGGGTAATGACCGGCGAGGCTGATTTTGCTAGTAATGGCTCTCATAGGTAAATGCCACGTCATTGTTTGAAGTCTACTGGCTCGTTTCTACCCTTCACATGGTTGTGCGAAAATCACTCTTCAAGGAGACGGTCGACTGGTATACGAGAACGTGGTCGAGCCAGCGCAGTATACGAAGTCCAACGCACCGGATCCGGTGCAGAAAGAATCTAGTGAGCGGAGAAGCTAAATGGTTTCTGAAAACGCAATGCTCACATTGAGTGAGTTTCTTAAATTGATTAACAGCAATGCAGTTGAAAAGCAAAGCAGTCCGTTAGCTTGTCCCCCGATATGAAGATATCATGTTCAGTAAAAAGCGATCGAAAATGGGAGTAGTTTAAATTTCTAACATCGCCTCATATCGAAGAATGTGTGTGAACATAGACATCAAACGTTTACCGTATTTTAAATGAGGTAAGCTATCCTTTTGTTAAATTTAACGTAGCCGAATTGTTTTTGCAGTGAACGACAGAAATGTGTACTCTAACTTGATAGTCTTGGAATGTTCTATCTAAAGACTTACGAAAAGGGCAGACGGTTTTAATTTTCGATCATTTGCGGGCAAAAATCTGGCTAGATTCGTATAGGGTTCACCGAAATTGCACAGATCCGAGTGACAACCACCATACTAGGAATGTACGGGAACATTGGCAGTCCGAATGCGCTTATTGGTGGCTAAACTTGCGGCTGCTAATCTGTTATCCGAGTTTGGCGATTAACCTTCATCATCATCAGACAGAAAGGCCGTGTACGTTCTGTACATTAATTATAGATGCAAAAGTTTCCTTCGCTGATGCTCTGGGGAATTAAGGTAGATAGTTATGCATAGGAGGGTGTAGCTGAAATAATTGATGCGTAAACAAAATGATGTTGGGGGACCGTTCGGTGAGGATATCTAGGACGAGCTATGTAATAAAGTCAACATCTTGATTTAGTGAGGCCATGTGACAGTATCGTGTCTGATACTGTCTGTAACCGCTGATTTTCCGTGTCTCGGTTACTGTATCCAGGTGAAGGGTAATGACCGGCGAGGCTGATTTTGCTAGTAATGGCTCTCATAGGTAAATGCCACGTCATTGTTTGAAGTCTACTGGCTCGTTTCTACCCTTCACATGGTTGTGCGAAAATCACTCTTCAAGGAGACGGTCGACTGGTATACGAGAACGTGGTCGAGCCAGCGCAACCTATGGTGTGCGGTCAGTTCATCTATCGTGGGTGAGTTATTTATCCGAAAACCATTCGAGGTACTTCAGAATTACTGAATCGGTGTTTGCATCGGACTCGGACAATGCTCCGAAGACATAGATGGTCAAACGCTGTAAGTTTTTGACTTGGGTAGTGTGTGGCGGCCAGGTTTGTGACGCGTACAGTAACGTGGGGATCCTCGCAATATTGTAAAGTTGACCAATGAAGGTCACGCTGATATCACACTTATGCCACAGGTGACGCAGGGGCACGTATGCGAAGGTATATCGTCTGCGTACT